TTTAATTTAAAGCAGGTGCTTTTAGTCATTTCACAATTTATATTTACACAATACATTACATGTTTACACTACACTAACATCTTTAACTTTTTGTAGAATTAAATGGTTCAAGTATACTTTACAAAATGTTGGACTACTAATCCGGTCATCTAAACTTTAAATAATTATAACTCATAAACTACGTACTCGTCCAAATTTCGAATTGTATGTATCAAAATACGAGTACATCGGAATATGAAAATAAAAATTATATTATCATTTAAAAAATTTAAAAAAATTTAAAAAAATTAAAAAGACATAATTTTCTTTTTCAAATGTTGTTCTGACTTGACAGTAAATTTTATGTAAAAATATTTTCAAAAATGCTAAAAGATTTTTAAATAATATGTATTGTTTGATAAATGAATTAACTAGTAATATCTTAAAAAACTAACGACCCATACATCAGCACTTCACTCTAACACAGTTTTTTTAAATTTTAAACTTTATAATTTTTATGAACTTTTGACCATGACATTAAAATGAATTTATTTAACCTATAGGCTAAATTACCTATAATTTGTTGTAAGTACATACTTTTATATTATTATCATTTATACAATACATTCGTTTTATTTTATCCACATAAATCAATTAATTATATTTTAGCGTTTACCCAATTTTAAAAATTACATATATAATATAATGGTATTATACATAAAATCGGCACGTAATTTTCGCAATAATAATTGTCCTCAGATTCCACGTTTTTGACCATTTTGGCCTTGTCTTTTCTTATTTTAACGTAGATTTTCGTACTGTACAATGCATTATATAAACTCTAAACAAAGGTTTTATAGCCTTGAAACATGTTTTAGTTCATTAAGAACATTCGTATCACGTAATATATGAAATTATCTGGGGTAACTTCTTTTTAATTTAATCTTTAGCATTCAATGTTGATACTCTTATCGAAATTAACTTTTGTGGTATAGTTTCATATATTTTAGAATAATAATATATTTACTATTTTATGTAAATTTTAAGATATTGCGCATTTAAATAATAATATTTTCAAAATTTCTATATTCATATTATAAATTGTATTAGACAGTAATTAATTAAAAAACCTTCAACTAATAATTTTTGACATTAATTTTAAACTTAAGTTTTAAATCAATAATTTATTATAATAATTGTTAGTGTACATACTAAATGTTTGAATTTCGACTAAAGTTTCTTAGTGGTTTGTTTTATTAACTATACATAACTAATGATAAATAGTTCATTTTTTATTGGTTAAAAAAAAAAAATTCGGGGTTTAATATTATGTTATAAGTTTTTATATAGTTAGTAGCTTTATTCAAAAATCAAAACTAAAGTAAAAATTGTACTTTATATTTCAAAATATCTATTATTTTTAATATGTATCAGAAAAAAAAATGTAAAAAAGTCTCTACTATTTGAATCTTTGTTAAAACGTAAATTGTATCAAAATATGATACATTGATACACTACTTCTAGAATACCCGTTAAGATAGCTTACACAAGATTAAAATGAGATTATATACATATCTATTGCCTTTTTATTCTTTATTTAATTATATATTTATATTATTAGGTAGACTATGGTTATAAATAGTAAGTACCTAACTAACTATTATACATTAAATATTTAAATATTTTTTTATATGTATTATTTTACTGTAATTATTATACTGTAGTATTCATTTTTTAAAACTTCATATTATAGTATATACCTGTTTTTTATTTTACATATATATATATCCTTCAAACTGTAATTGATTTAAAATAAATTTAAATATTTTTCCTATAAAATTCAATTATACATTATATCTTAAGTTAAAAGTAACACTAAATATTTTTTAGAATGACCTTCAATTTGAATCGATATTTTTATAAGGACGTTATAGTAAACATTTTGAGAAAAACTCGTATTTTTAGCACTGCATGAATGCGCGACACACATTTAAATAAAAATGCCAACTTTTTATTACTACATTTTTGTATTGATTTTTTTTCCTTAAAGTATTTGAATTAAATTCAAAATTTAGTAAATAAGAGTTTATTCAAAGTTTTAACATGTAAAATTGCTGGATAACATATACATTATACGCAAATATAAATTTTAGATTTTTTAAATTTAAAATCAAACTATCAGATAATAAGTATTTAATATTATTAACGAGCAACTAAATGTAGTTTGTGCTCATATAGTAATTTTATGTTGAATAATGTATACATTTGTCTTTGTGTAAGCTAAAAATATATTTTTGAAACCATAGAAAAATAATCGTAAGAAGTTGATGGATCAACGAATTTCAATAGCTAAGTTTGACAAAAACGGATTATTTAAGTCTAAACTTCAATTTTAGTCAGTTTTAAATTCATATAAATAAAAAAATTAAATTAATTATTAAATTGTATAATCAAATATTTTTTTTTTAACTTTTAGTTTCAACCAAATCAATAATAATAAAAAAAAAAATGTTGTTATGCACATGTTTATTTTATAATAAGAATTTTTCATTTCAATTTAATTGTACACATATCTTAAGTCCAGATGATTAATAAAAGTCAACAAAACTAAATTATCTTATATTCTTTTGTAAACAACACATAAATGTATGAAACCATTTTTATTATATCATAATGCATTACTAAATAATTTTTTTATTGAGACTCTTTTTTGTGTTATATATCTTATACACTAATCTGTTTTTTTTACCTGTACAAATAATGGGTGTAAATTACAAAATATGAAAAATATTTTTTTAGAGAGTTTTTTTTTAAAACAATTCAAATATAAATTTATAATTAATGTATTAAACATAAATCAATTATTCCTATTTGTATATAATTTATTTTAAAACTAATTCTAAATATAAAAACATATATCTTATTGATAGCGTTTAGGAAAATTTATATTTTTTCCCCGTTAAAATATAATATTCTATTTTAGTTTTAGTATAAATATCTAGTAAAAAACTTTTAATTGTAATACACTTCTTAATGATTTAATTTTGTAAATAATAAATATAAATAAACAATCATACAAAAAATAATAACTCAATCTTAATTTGCCGGTATTGTAAATATTTAATATTATAAAAATGTGAAGTTTTGTTTGTTTTTTACTAAAGCTAAATAAATAAAGTACGATTGAATTTTATTAATAGGTGAATATCTTTTGAAAAAGTAAACGTAACTTTAAATAACCAAACAAAAATTATGAATGAGAAAATTAGTCTCTATAAAACTAATAATACTCCATATAAATTGTAATTTGCATCTATTGACAAATAGGCAAATAATATGTGACATAATTAACTATATAGTTCAATATATAATTTTGGATACATTTATAATTTATATTTATATATCAAATGATTCTTCTTAGCTTATTCGCATAATTTAGTTTAATAATCAAACTGTTAAAACTATTAATTTTAAATAAACCTAAATAAAATATTTTTAAAATTAGTACATTTTTTATAACATTTATGGAATGACCTAAGATGTAAAAATTTCATCTTTTTTTATACGAGAAACATCTTTTTTTTATTTTACATTTTAAATCAAATGATTTTTTATAAATGTTTATTAATATTATATTAAATTTGAAATCGTAATTTCTGAGTTATTAATATGTACGTATCATTCTTTAGTAAGATCATGAGTTTTACTCGTACATAAAATATAAAATATTATGTGTAATAACTAATCTAGTATTTGTTACACCTGATCAGTTAACTTTTACAAATTATAAAATTAACAAATAAAAATAATGTTAATAAAAATTATGGCTAATAATCAGTTTTTTAAGTTAAAAAAAAAATAAAAAATAAAAAATAATTAATTAATATTAATTACTATAATTTTCAAATCATTATCTTTACCCCTATATCTATCGTGATCTTAATATCTTTGGTAAACCAAGTTAAATAACTTATACATTACTTATTTTCATTCCAATTTAGATTCTTTAAAATATTTTTTTTTAATTATTTACTTGAAAATGTGTTAAAAAAGTAAAAGGTATTTATTAGAAAAAAATTAATTTCTGTAACTACAGATCTATCATTTAAAAAAATATAATGAAAAATCCAAATAAAAAAATTCCGAAAATTATAATTTGAATAACTGCATTATTAAGGGATACAATTATAATGACTTTCCCAGTGT